AACATAGATGCAAACTTCTTATTGTTTATAAACTTTCAAAAGGCATTAATGAACAAATTAAATGTAAGCAAGATGCTTGCAAATGTTTATTGCACTCCCTTAAAAAACTTTCATCCTTAATTTGAGAATCATGGATTTACAAGGCAAACAAATATAATAACTCTTGAACAGATTTTTAGATAGATACTGAATTTCTTCTTTTTCTTTTTCTGGTAATAACAGTAGTCATTAAATATACATTTAGTGGGTTTATTGAAGGGAAAAGATGATGATAAGTCGATTCAAACAGGTTTGTAATATAACTACAGAAAATAGCTAGTATTTTAAAATTAGTTTTTTTGTTTCTACTTTTGTATTTACTATTTATAAAAATTAAATAAAGTTATTGGCAGTATCACATTGTTAAAAAAAAAATTTGATTTTGACCATTTCGACCATTTCAGATATCCAAAATGATCTATTTCGACTTTATATATAGTTACTGCAATTGAAAAAATATGTTAAATTACATAGTAAATTTTCTTAGAATAATAATGAACACAATTCCAAAATTCTTAAATATTATTAAATTATCATATAGTAATATCATTGTAAAAAATATTTTTTTGCCAATAAGCTTCTAACTCAATTAATAATACAGTTGAATTTTTATTAAACCAAACATAATAATAGTAAGTAACCTATTTATCAAAATATGGAAAAGATAAGTTTTAATTTTTGAATTAAATTCATCAATATTGTTAATGTGTAATTCTTGCGAACTACAACTGTTAAACAAGGTGGTAGAGTGTTATTTCTTTTTAATTGCACAGTAATTTTAAAGCTTTTACAAGTTTATTATTATGACTAAATTCAGGCAAAGATTTCAGATAAAGGTTTTTACAAGTATTCACAATCAATAATTCACGAAGTATTGAGTAATTATATTTTCAGTAAAATGTTTATTAATAAGATAAGAAATAGAAATAAAGAGAATAAAAAATATAACAAGAAAAAAGAAAAAGAAAATAAAGAAACGAAGTTTTAAACTAAATTATAACACAATAAATTTATTTGCCTTTTAAAAACTACTGGAAAACTAACTTATCAAATCCTACCTTTTTACATGATCTAAAAAGCTATTTATATAAAATACAGTATATAGAAAAATATAACTAATATGTTTAATATATCGTATATATCAAATATGTCTGATTTGTTATATATGTCAAATCTGTCTAATATATCTTATTTGTTGATCATGTCAGATATATCAGATATGTCAGACATGTCAGACATGTTAGAAATGTCAGATTTGTTAGATTTGTCAATCATCTGCATCAAGTAAGTCCTATCATATTTTATTCGTTCACAATATGATATCTTAAATAAAGTAAAAATACTAATAATAAAAGAGGTTGCTTTTAATAATTCCATTTTTTTTTAAGTTTATTTAACAGCTTATTTTTAAAATTATTATTATTTAATAAATATAAAATTATAATTAAATTACTGAAGCAATAGAGAATATTATAAAGTTATGAATTATGTCATTGAACTTGATTAAGTGCAGCACAATAAAAAGTATTATTATTTCTAATTCTTTTAGCTTTTTCACTAATTATTATCAGAAATGCAATTAAGATATTCTTTAGAAAAGTTATAAAAGATTGTCATCACTCTATTCCTCAATTTTCATTACTAAATTCTAATAATTAATTTTAATTTTAATTTTTTAATTTAAATCAATATAAAATTATATCTAAAAATTGATACTTACTTTTAATACAGATTTTGATTAAAATAAACTTGCAAAACAATAATATTATGAATTTAAACAAGTATTATTGGTTATAATTAATGTGTAATATTTATTTTTATATATTACTGCTTACTTTTCTTATAATTTTCCATTACATATATTTGCATGACTAAAAAAAACTAGCAATAGCAACAGCTTGCTTAACTACTTTTGTAAAAAAATTAGATTTCTTAAAAATATCACTTACACATAAATAATAAATATAATTTATAAATATATTATTATATAAATTAAAGAAATTTGCTATTTATCATTGCTGGTAGAGTTCTGAATGATTTGAGCCAAATTTTAAATCAAATAAATTGAATCAAATTGAGTCAAATCAAGTCAAAAAAAAATTTGACTTGTTTAACTTAAGTCGATTTCAAGTTAAACTCGATTTAACTCAAAATAATTCAAGCTAAACTTAAGCCAAAAGTTGAATAAACTTAAGCCCAAAGTTAAGCAAAGCTTAAGCCCAAAGTCAAACTGAACTTTAACAATTTTTTTTAAAGAAAGTATAAAAAAATCATCTTTTATATTTCAACCTATCATCAATGAGTTGTATATTTATCAGAATCCAAAATATTTAAATGAATTTTTAGAGTAAGATTAGACACAACAATATTGTCAACTTACATATGGAGGGAAGTTTGCTAGGAAAATGGGGCTCTGAGCATTTTTTAATTTTATCGCATTTTAATTTTTGATAATGTTAGATTAAAATGCAATAAAAATTAAAATTTTAAAAAAAAATACTCAGAGCCCCATTTTCCTAGCAAACCTCTCATATTATCATAACATAATATAGGAATAACTAACAAAACTTTAGGAATCATATCCTGTATTTCATAAACTACATATTATATATGAACTTGTCAATAGAAAGATCTAAAAAATTTTTTTTTATAAGTTAATGCTAAATCTGGACTTATTATACTAAAAAAAAAAAAAAAAAAAAAAAAATCATATTTAGCATATAAAGTAAAATTTTGATTTTTTTTTTTAGATTTTCTCCCTTTCTATTGACAAGCTCCCGTAAATTTATTTATTGTAATATGAAAAAAAAAATTGTAACCTTAATTATAATTTACAAAATATACGAAATATACGACTTATTCTCCGTCAATTGCTATGATCGGTGATATGCTTTTGGAAGGTTGGAAGCATTATTTTATAAATCCATTAGGATCGGTAGCTTCAAAATCAAATTTTACACTTTATTAGAGCATTGACCATCATAACCTATAATGGTAAATGCTCTAAAAAATATATTCTGATTTCAGTTGGTAATTGCAATTATAGATGAGATGTAACATTTTTTTTTCGGCGTCCACCATGGTTGATAAAATTGGACTTGTAATGTGATTGCTTGACTTGATCAGTCTTTCTTAAAGATATAATCAAGCTTGTTATATCTGTGACCAAGTACATCCAGCATGTTACTGGTTTCTTGTATGTTTCCTATGCACGAATACAATCAACCAGTTTCCTATATGCTAAAATAAAAATGCAATGGAAAATATAATAAACAGTAATTTACCAATATATATTTAAAGACCTACAGCGATCTCTAATCGATTTTGTAGCATGCACGGCAAACTCACATTCTCCAAGATCAACACTCGAAGATCTCAAAAATCGAATATCACACTTTCGCCCTTTTTCAAAATTTCTGATATGCTCAATGGGCAAAACGACTCACCCTAAATGTAATTCATGAATTTAATAGTCTGACATAAAACAAATAATAGTGAGATCAAACAAGGACAAAGCAAATGAAGGAAAAATAACCCTTACAAGTAAGTCATCATAAATTTTAATAAATTATATATGCACGTGTTGATGCTGAGTTTATGTGTCTTTCTATGCAAATTTATATGCTTTGTTGGGTCGTTTCGAACTTCTAAGAATAAACGAAAAAATGTAAATTATTCTTATGTAAAATAATATAACTATGTGCATCAATCACCTTTTCCACTTCTGTGACAAAAATATTAACTACTTCTTACAAGCCAGGAACTTTTAAGATGTTTTGTAATTTTCTTTCATGAATTCAAGTTCCCTCAACAGAAACCAGAGCTGAAAGGTCGACATAGAATATCTCAATGTTGCCCTTTATATTGCTGTCAATGTCTTCCTGTCCTTTGTAGATTTTGCAAGTTGCAAAAAAATTTTACTAAAAATATTAACGTCTTGCCCGGATGGATGCAGTACCCACTTTTCTGCTGTGACTGATGCGCATTTTACAATACTTTACAACGAAGGAATTTCTTTTTCCACGCCACTAATGATGGAAATTCATCATCATTATTGTCGCTGTGGTGGTTTAAATAGGACTGTAGATCATTACTTACACACGTGTCTTTTGCTAAAATAAAAAAAAATTTTGGAATTACAAAAATTCGATTTATGCATTTTCGGATGAGCTACTCACAGGCTTTTGTTGTTGAGGGAGAAAATATTTATCTATATTTATGTCCTTCCTAAATAATTAAAATGCAAAATAAATATTCCGCTGAACTCACCTTCCGGTTAAAAAATGCGAATATATAAAACTCTTCCCGGTTCACTTTCTAAGAGACCCATTATTGGTTACGAGATATCTGTAATTTCGTGGAAGGTTCATTGACCAGTTTAGCTTCCTTTTTTTACTTTCGAGCATAACCATAATCAGAACCCTAGCAAATAAATTTTGATATTAGTGATATTCTTTAATCTTTTTTATCCATTTTGCATCCCACAAGGTCAACCAAAGTCTCAAACGTAAGAGATATTGTTTTGCGTCCCAGCACTGTTTTGTAGCCTCGATTGACGAATGACAACGCCATCAACAAAAAAAAAAAAATATGGGATAATACGCGAATACGCGTTTATGATCTGCTGATCGATTAGATGTTAATGCTTTATGATTCTCAATAGTTTATTTTATCGAATAATTTTTTTTAAATACTTCTTTTTTTTATTAAAAAGTCGATAAAAGGCTTTCTAATAAGAATAAATCATGTTCTTTTTTTTTTTTTTTTTTTTTACAATTATTAAGTTATATCGTTATATTTAATTTTACTTTGTTTACTTTAAAAATACAAAAAGTATGCTCGAAAATTTTTTTATTAATAAATATTCATTAAATTTGTAAACAAAATTCAATCTATGATTTTTCTACTTTGATTACAAATGATTAAGTAATTAAAACAAACAATCGTATTACAACAATCAATTAAAGTTCGTATCTATTTTTTCCGATTCCAACCAACTCAACGTCGAATACAAGAGCAGCATTTGCTATATATCATTTATTTTTTTTAAAAAAAAAAAGTTTAAGTTACAATATTCTTAAAAATTAAAACAGTAGATAAAATATTCTAATAATTAATTACCGGGAATGAGTGGCGGATTGCCTCTTGGACCATAACCCAAATCAGAGGGGATAATTAATTTGCGCTTTTCACCAATACACATGCTTTAGAATTTGAAAGAAAATTTATTAAGACGTGTTGGAAAGTAAGCAACTAGCATTGAAAACTAATGAATCATATAAGACTTACCCATGCAAGCCTTGATCCCAACCTACGTTGTATAATGAATAAGTCAATATAAAATTTAAGAAATTAAATACGACATTTGATTAGGATCCAAACGAACCTTTAATAACTTGATTACCACCTAAGGTAAATGTAAAAGGTGTGCCACGGGGAATGCTAGAATCAAATTCTTTGCCATCTTCGAATAAAGTTCCTGTATAATGAACAGTTATTGAATCCCTAAAGAAAAAAATATCGTCATAAAGAATTCAGCGGAACTCTTTTAACGAAATAAATTGATTTGAATTTTAAAGTTTTACCCATTCTTAGTTCTTTTACGACATATCCCATCGGGAATACGATTCTTAATACCTATATGTAATAAAAAGGTTATTACACTATACATGAAATGCAATGACGACAAGAGTACTTACCAACTTGCAAATTCTTTGGAGGATCCTTTGCATCAACAAAGTAACTAGTCAAGCAAACAATGGCAATGAAAAACAAGATTATTATATTTTGTCTCATTTTAAAGTTTTTTTTTGCAAAAAAATAAAATTTTGGGAAAAATTTATTTTATTCGCTATTAAATACTTTAGTAAAAAAAAGTGAACTCGAAACCCACAAGTTCAAAAAAAGGTAGAACCTTTTGTTGTCAATAAATGATTGGTAGAAATAATCAATAATTTGGTACAATGTACATTATGTACATTAGCACGTATTTTTTTTAAATTAAAATTAATGAAATCAAGTTTAATTTCAAGTTTTAATGTATCAAAAGATTTCATTGGGTAATGTAATTTTTATCCTAATAAAGCATATAGAAATATTTGGTAACAAATTTTAAAGTCATATATATTATATATTGTTCGTATCCTATCTATAAAATTAATAAAATACGTGACTTTGTTAAAATACAAGATGTACTGTAGCGATTTGAGCTATTGAACTTAATACAATGACAGTTGTTGCGTAATTACACATTTATTTTGTTATAATTTTTGCAGACCAACAATTTGCAGATGGGTTCGCCATTTCTAATCAGGTTTTATGATGAAGAATCCAAGTTGTTTCAACTCCAATACTTCACAATATATTTTTCAAGCAATGTAATAAACTAGGCGGGAACCGTCCGAAGCGTAATTATAATACAGTAATTGTAATAATTAAGTAGCACTAATGATCGGCAATATATCAGTAATATAAAACTTTATTTAACAAATAATATAAAATGTAGCATGCATGATAAAATAAAAAGTGTTACATTTTTATTATATCGCAATTCAATTCACAAGTTAGGAACTCATAGAGAATAAACAGCTTTCTTCTTCTAATCTCTTTTGTAACCTTTTACAAGTTGAATTCTTTTAAGTGAAAATAGTATAAAAAGTATTTTTCAGCATATAAACTTCTAAGATCTATAATGGCTTTTTGTAAGATTAGTCTCTGACTCTTATAGCTCAAGCAAGACAAACTGAAACATGCAAGCATGAGCAAGTTCCATTATTCCCATCTTAGATTTTTTTTAGATTCCTAAATATAGTAAATAAAATTCTTTTAATATTACCATTTAAAAGTGATATAATTAATGAATAATTAACTACTTTGCTTAAATTTAAATAAAGTATTAAAAATTGAGAACTAATAAAATTCTGTCTCTCTATCCATCTATAAAGTTAAATACTTAATAATTTTTTAAAAGTAACTTTATCTTATACCATTCTTGAATAAGTCTAGTTTTATTAACCTTGTAAGAAAAAATTGCTTATTCTGATATTTAGAATTTCTATAAAAATCACCTAATATTTTAATTTTATGTTCACTATATATTGCTATTTCATTTGACTTTGTTAGAATTTGAGAAAAATCAAAAATTTTCATAGTATTATAAATTTCAGTATCTAAAAATCAAAGATAAAGATTATTTACCAATACGATAGCAAATTCTTTAAATACTATTGATAATATATCAGATTTAATAAGATCAAACATATATTTTCATGAATAATTTCTATAAGTTAATAAAATATAGTCAATATCATTAGGATTATCATTATTGCTAATAAATTTAGTTATAATTAAATCAATTGCTGTATTTAATTATATATGCACATTAAATAGTGTAACATACAGTAATCTGATTGAAAAATTTTTATTAAATTGCTAAAAAAAAATAAATAAAATATCTACATAGAATATCTTCACATAATCTTTGAGTTCATTATTGTAATTTATTACATGTATTATTAATTTCATTATCATCAAATGCATTAATTATTGAAAAATATAAAAAATAATATAATGTAAATTTAAAACAGCATTAGAAAGTGAAATCTATCAAGTATTAATAATATTTAAAACTAATAATTGTTAAATATTACTATTATTAATGTGATTAACTAAAATAAGTATAATTTCTTTTAGTATTGCTAGAGCTCCGAACAGGTCAGGTCGGGTCGGGTAATTGACTTGACCCGACCTGATAAGGTCAGGTCGGGTCAGACATAAAATTGACCTGAATTAAAT